GTAATAGCAATAGTAATTGCAATAGCAGGTAAGTTAATCGCTTGACCAGTAACAAAAAACCGTTCAGCATCTTCATTCCAAGCCACTGGTGCTTGGGCAATCATGCTTGTTACATTATAATCAGACACAATATCGATAAATAAGGCAACATGCTTGCTCCAAGCAACTGTCACTGTCAAAATACCGAATAGATAAAGTAATATAGAATTCCATCCATTAAACCATGCCAAATATTCTACAATGAATAAGAACAAAACAAATGTCTTGTAACGATATTTTTGATTATATACCTCCTAAGGCTAAAATAATCAAAAGAAGTGTTCATAGAAGTAAAATACATATGTGATAACGAACTCACCTGCATAAGTATATGTGTAAACTGATCCAGAACTGGGCATCATGGCTCCTAATTCTGAATATGAAAAAGATGCCAATAAAGCAATAACGCCTGTTATAACAAATGAAATGATGATTGATGGACCAGAATATTGTGCAGCAGCTTGTCCACTTAATACAAAAATGCCAGCACCTGAAAAGAAGATCCAAAACTCTTATGGTACGAATCATTATCAAACTCACTTACCAATAGTAGCACCAAGGCCTATCGCAAGCAAATGAACCCAACTTAGTCTACGTTCAAATGCTGACTTTGTCTGAAGCTCAGTATTTAAGTCTCTCCATGGTTTACGTGCAATCAGTCGATTGAAAAAGACTTCAGCACAAGACATTTCAACAGCTATACCTATATGTATAAATAGTTTTTGGTATTGAAAATTATATAAACTGTTGAAGAATAATAATTCGAGTCTATAGTCTCTATGATTACCTCTTATTTGTATGGCTCTAATATTTATGCACCATATAAATGACTGTAAAAAGTGGTACGATGGTTAATAAAGGCCTATGTTGGAAAAAATAAAGGAAGTAAACATTACACAACACAAAATCGATAATAAATACAATAAAAATAGGCTTTTTTATTGGTTGTCCTGTTTTTTTCATCTTTCGTCTACCTAGCTTCAATCGTATATACTCTCCAACATACATATGAGTAGATAACGAAAAAATATTATATCTGTTTCATGGAAGACATAGACACAGTTTTTATGCGCAGATACATTTTCAATACTTGATTTCATTAATCAGCATTAATGAAGTGTATTTCATTCGAGTGTCCCATCTTTTAGCGATAAGAATCTCTTGCTTTCGAATGATTTCGCTCGTTGCTAAATGATATTTACCTTTCTGTCTACAACGTAATGAATAATCATTCTTCTCATTAAATAAATATATTCCTGATATCATACAATATCACGACAAAAAAAAAACATTAAATATACAGAAGTTTTTTTAATATTTTCTTCGACTTTTCTTCAATAGACTATTGGCTATTGACGATAAATTTTAAAAGGCATTCTAAATTTCCTTCTAATACAAAATATCTAACAGAGAAAAATAAATTAATTAATATGGATCAGAAAGACGAAAAAAAATATTATATTCAACCAAGATCGACATAGAATGTAAGTTTCAAGTATTCTCAGATATATAATAAATTCAAAAAGCATTTTAATTCATATTCATTGTCAAATTGAATATATAGTTATAAAATTGCTTTGTATGAATCAAACAGTTCGATGACTATTTTTCAAATTGGATATGACTTCTTAAACATTGTTATAGTGTCATTTTGGTTGCTGATTCATGTGATTGATTTAAACGAAAAATAATATGACATAAAACATGTCTAAAATAGAATAAAAGTAAAAAAAAACTAAAAGAAAAAGGTAGAGCATGATTAATTCAATACGGTAATGCTTTATAAGGCATCTATTGATATGTAACGAAACCAATCTCAAGATAATATAAATTCTATAGAAAATCGAAATCAATAAACACTAAACAGAGTATATAACAATTCTTTATTCTATATAGATAGAAAGAATGAGGAGACATACTGAAAAAGTCGAAACCAAGAGCAATTCCTATTCGGCACCATCAACAGGAATCATTAAACTGATAATAATCAAAGATCTGTTTCATTTCCTTATACATCTTCTATTGCAATTTCTATATGAACTCAATGTTAATTAAGTCATTACATGATTTCCCTTGTAATCTTCTCGAAAATTGTTTATCCTCATTTTTACAAAAAACGAAACAACAAATATCTAAGTAACTCCGATGAAACATGTTGTGATTGTTTCTCATTTCTGAACGTACAGATTGGTGCATCAGTATTTTTTTAATGTAAAGGATTAATCTGAAGCTCTTTTATGAGATAAATATTTTCAGAAAACAGAAAATAATTTATAAGACTTCGATAATAAACAACTTATATGACAATATATCTATTTAATATTGTGTCTAGAAAAGTAAAGAGAATTATCGAAATGATAAGTAAGTTGATTATGTAAATAGTTCAAAGCTTTGAGTATTTCTTGATAATCATAATGTTCTATTGAATATAATGAATTTTGTATCAGCAGGAAAAAACAACTTACAAATATGTAATAATCAATTGTTTTCATTTTATAATTTTACCCAAAAAAAAAAGAAAATAAAGAATATTTTATTGTATAAATATTATGATGGAATGTATCACAACAATAGTAAATAAAGAATAACTAAGATAGTAACTATTTGATAATCATAATAAGAAGAATGATGTTTATCACTAAACAAACAATTCTTTATACAATTATTGCGCATAATTTTTACGGTAACAATCGACCTTGTATTCGATACTAATTCATTATAACGAGCAGTATGATTATTCCGACCAGTAGTTATATTCTAGTAGATATAGAACCAAAAAAGAAGAAATGTCACTTTTCCTAAGAGTGACCAATAAACAAACTGTTGTATTAGTTACAATTGATTGTTTAAGTTCTGGTTTATGATTTGATAGTGTGTAATGATACAGAGCTTTTCTTTTTAAATTGTTTTATTGATATGTTTAAGGACTTATTGATGCATTCATTCATGCACTAGTTTTACTGATCAGACCAATGCATGCAATGATAAGATAATGGCCGTTAACAGTCGACTTAAGTTTTTACAAATAAAATTCATCTCATTGACTGGGTCAAATGAATTATACGACGATAAAAATGCAACTTGGTGAGCTCTATGAAATGCTTCATTAAGATTTTTTAATGAAAGCTAACCGATACAAATGAAAGCTTTTTGTGACTCTGATCTACACTACTTAAATCATCGATGTAACAAAGCTCAATGATTGCATCTATATCGAATAGTGTATGTTTCTTACTATTGAAGACAAAACTTCGCGACCAGGAGTTCTCTAAATTTCAATGTAGAGTATTTTACTTTCAAAACCTGTAAAATCAGCATAGACTTGCAGAAACGGTTAGGGATGAAAAGAAAATAGAAAGTCGCACTCACATTATCCAGTGGATATTCAGCTTTTTAAGGTTTTTTTTACTGATAAAGAATATATTTTCCAATGAAAAAGTCGACTGCTTCGTATAGAAATTAACTCTCTATCGGATGAGGATAGAAGCAGATTCTAAGAATTACCTTTAACTTCTCTAAAGAAAAGAACAGAAAAAACGTCGCTTTTTATGGGTCACTCAACTGTTTTATATGACTTAGGGCCAATTCTTGAGAAACCTTTGACAATAAAATTCATTGATTAAGTTTGCAAATAAATTGAAATCGAAAGGCAAACAGCCAATCAAACAATTATAATTCAGTTTTATCTCGTAATCAATCTGTTCTTTTTTATTGAGTGATGTTTCTCATCGTATACAATGACTACATAATTGAATTGAATGTGATCTTCAATTTCATCATTTTAGTCCATATGATACGATAGATGTATTTAAACACCATTTTTGTCTCTTACCTAAATAATTATATACTCAATGTCGTTGACTTGCATTTCAATATGCTATTCTTTCATTTTTTGATGAAAATTGTTGTTTTACATTTACTTTTATCATTTATAAATGATGCTTAAATACGTGAAAACAAATTAAATGATTTCAATTGATCTTGCAACATGTTTTGCTGTTAAACTATTTTTGTTGTATAATAATATAAAATTATATCAAATGGTATGTCTGGTTTAAGAGAAATGCAAGAACAACGTGAAGCCATAGATATACTTGATCATGTTCGTTTATCATTTCTTGTCATTAATAAATTACATCAAGCATGTTCGTTTTGTGATATTGAAGGTAGTAAAACATGTACATTTGAAGAATAATCGCATCATATTCTAGATACAACAATAAAAAGTTCATTTATAAATAAACTTTGTCGTTATGTATCCATTAAACGTAAAGTACAGCAATATAACAAAGAAATAAGTATAATACTTTGCATAAAATCTTATTAGTTCAATATCATATCATCATGTGAAAATGGATCTGAGACTAATGGTGGAAAGACAATTAGTTGCTGTATAGAATTGATTGGAATGCTTAAAGATAAAAACGGCAGAAAAAAATTTGTTCATATTATAGAGAATAAATAACTCAGAGAGGTTCAGAAAATAACTAACAATCTATTCAAGAAAAAAAGTATTCCATAGGAGTATAAATTCTAATGTTTAGTAAACTCTTCGAATTGAATGTGGACAGATGCACGAGATCTAGTAGTAGTTTTTTTTAGATTTTCAATAATTCATGTATTCTTTCCTTTTTTCAGAGCTTCTTTCTACTACAGTTTTCCCTTTTTCACATTGAATGTAACAGATGCATCATAATAAATGAACCTCTAAATATTTTGCGAATATTTGTCTCAAATTACCGCATATTTACTTAAATTTTTTCTCACAACACAGTTTGTGCAATTCCATAAAGAAAATTTTACAAAAAGAGACTCCCCAACCGATAGCTGTGGAATTACCTCTGACCAATCCTGTAATATCATAGAATGGCTAACTTTCAAATGTAAGCATTTTTTAAAACTAATGATTCCACTTTTTCTAGCAAAACAGATACAACGTCCTACCTTCGTACGAGTTTTCTGTGTTTTCACGAGTACTCTTTCTAACAAATCTCAAAGAAAGATATTCAGATATGATTGTAATATTGTAGTAATCAATCTTTTTGAAAACCGAGAGAAAATCATTGCTTGTTTTCTTTATACACATCGAGCAGTGCAGAAAAAACAATTCACAACATTCTACTCGTATTGAAACGATAGAGAAAAGATTTTCGTTCAACTGACAAGGGAGGTACCTGAACTGTTCCCTCGACTTTGAGCTCATACTTTGATCATACGTAGGGCTCAATATGACTCGAAAAAGTCTAAAAGGATTTGTGCCCATGGGTCTCTGATCAAAAGTAATGACATGTCATTATTTATCTACAAACGTGTGACGCACAGGTCGATTTCTTCTAAATATTCTGTAACTTCACTGAATTAAGTAATGAATTTTTTATTTGGCAGCGACTCTGGTGGCTTCCAATGGTCAGTAAACGTGTCAAACTAATAAGGTCTCATATTTAAGAGATACAAAATTTTTTATGTCTAAGGGCCCTCTTGTAAGTACAGTGATGTAGGCTTTTTTTCTATCCTCTGTATCATTTTACCCGAATGCGGAAGAATGTAAAGAATGTTACGAAGGGTTATTATCCTCTGTCCATTTCTTCAAATAGATTTTTGAAAGTTAAATGATAAAGACTGAATCTATGACATTCATATTGGCGAATCGTGTTGCGAAGTAAGATTCTTATCGTCCTTTGGATTACAT